AGCAGACAGGCAGTGATTTTGGAATCATCTCGTGAGATGGTGAATCAGCCTTTCTCAGATAAAGCAGATTCTGCTGTCCCACCAGCCTTTTTTCTAATAAAACCAACCCACTCCAGCCCCTTCCCTAGAGCCTGGTGGACCCAGTTCATGTAGTAGTCACTGAAGGTGAATCCAGTGGCTGGACAGGAGAGTCTCAGGGACCTCCCAGGCTGGACCATGCCTACCCCAGACTCCACCAGCTGCCCCTCACACTGGACACCTGCAAACAACTCCCAAAGTGGGCAATTGTTTCAATTTTTATGATTAGCACAAAAAGATCTGAAGATAGAGTGGGAGACTAAATGGTAACATTTAATTCTAATTGAACATACTACCGAATAGGATGAAAAAATGTCAGACAAGATCGGGCGCATTCAGGGTGGCACACTTCACTATTGCACAGTCATGGAAACAACCCAAGTGCCCATAAATTCATGAGTGGATAATTAAAATGTGGTATATGCTCACAAGGGAATATTACTCAATTCTAAGAAATGACAGTGAGCTAGCACTGTTTATGCTATCCTGGATTAAGCTTAAGCCAATTATGGAAAATGCCCTCCACATCTCCTCACCATCAAATTGATACTGACTGATTAAAACTATGGTGCTCAAATGGTGGTAATGTTCACCAGGGATTGGGGCGGAGACCCACATCTTATGGATGTGGTGAGTATTGTGGAGGGGAAGGGCATACCTCTAACCCTTCTTAGGGAGAGGCAAAGATATACAATGTAACCAAAATGTTAAAAGAAAAAACTTTTATTGGGTGTTGGGCAGGTGGGAAGGGAGAGGAGGAGAAGGGTGTATACTTACATAATGGGTGTGGTGCGCACCACTTGGGGATTGTACAGGTTTGAAGCTTTGGCACATGGGGGAGGAGGGATGGCAGGGGCAATATATGTAACCCTAACAATATTTGTACCCCCATAATATGATGAAATAAAAGGAAAAAATGTCAGGATAATTGAGATTGAATTACTGTTGATATTTATGAAGATAGTGAGTTTTAAATTGGAACCAAGATGTTATAGAATAGCAAGTGCCTAAACTGTGAACCCCACAAATAGATTGGTGCAGCCATCATTGGCAATGGGGTAGCTAGAGGTCCCCTGACACGGGAAAACATTCTGAGTGTACACACTGCATGGGGAATCTCTGCAGGCTCTGACATGTGCAGGAACAGCTCATACCTCAGATTCTGCATCAGGTAAACCCCTGATTTTGCCCTGTGGAGAAAAAGGGACAGTGCTGAAAAGGTCCAGATGGACTCTACTCAGACCTCATCAGTCAAGGAGAATCCAGTAAAACTATAGAACATGGATCTGAAATACATTTGACAATTAATGATAATACAGGCAATCCTATGGCAGGACATTGTTCAGAATTAAGGAATAATGTAGTTAGGGTAAATGTGGATATTAACATTGATTGCACACCACATTTGCTTCCTACATCATTCATGAAAATAACATACAAACATATACTCTATATAAAAATGGATAAACAGTGTGTTGGGGATTAGAATGCACATCCCAGCCCTCCACCTACAGGAAAGAGAGCACCTGGAGCAGGTGCCCAGCTGCTGCTGTCTGACATCCAGGGTGAGGCTTGTGCTCAGGCTGCACATCCTGCAGTTTTCTCCCAGGCAGACACCGAGGTCCTTGGAATTCTGAGGCTGAGCCATTTCTGGGATTTGTGAGGTTCTGAGGGCCAGTTTTCACTTCCAGAAGGCTCAGTGAAATGGGGGGACCTTCTTTGGAAAACACAGAAATTTAGAAAAGTTCCACTCACTCTTCCCTCTTTTTCTCTTTCACCAGAGGACAGACTTCCATCATGGGCTCACAGCTTCCCCAGCGTAATTCGACCCTTTCTGCTTTTCTTTTCAAAAAGGTGGGTATATTATTTAGATTACTTTACACAAACTCAATCCCATCTTAGAATTTATTTCTCAGAAGACTGATGCTAACAATTATTTTAGCAAACTTGTTGAAAATAAATGCCTAATTCTTTTGAGAGATTAATATATAAAATAATCATGATGATCAGTTTTACTTGTCACCTTGGACTAACCACAGTTCCAGTTTGCAATCAAACACTACCCTAGGTGTTTCTCTGATTGCATGTCACAGATGTTATAAAAGCCTGTCATCAGTTTTCTCCACACCAGGGAAACTGTCCTGGCTAAGCTGGTGGGGCCTGATTCTGTCTTAGCAAACAGAAGATAAAGAAATTCCACTGTGGGTAGGAGCTGCAGCCCTTCCCGACAGTTCCAGCCTGCCCTTGTGATGCTGGCACTGATAACCCCAGACCTGCCTAGAGAGGCCACATACTTACTATACTCAGAGCTCCCATCACTCTGGGGTGAGTATCTCCAGCACAACCCATGCCAGAGGTGAAGGAGGTGACACATGATGGTGTGGGTGTGACAGCAGAGGCAGGCTCATTCTGACTGACTGACTTTGCTTCTACCCTTCCATAGTTAAGATAATTTGGGATAAAAATTTCTACTGATTGAGTTTGACTGCTCTGGTT